TATCTATTTTAAAACTAAAAAAATATGAATATTATTTAAAAAAACCTTAAAAGAGTGGAGGAAATTTTTTCTATAGTGAAATCATTTAATTATTATTTATAAAATATTTGTAACTTTTATATTTTCAAAATTGTAAATTTTTTTAGTTTTTTAATTAAATTTGCGTTACTATGTTAATTTAAAATGAAAAGACGAGTGGTAGTTTATTAAAAAATAATAATATTTATTATTTTTATTAAAGATATAAAAAAACTGAGTCATATGATATGTGATAATCTAAGTATAATTTGGTTTAGTTTTTTATTGGTCTTACAATTTTTTATCTTTGTTAGGAAAGAAGAGAGAGGTGACATAAACATGGCGTGGTGAAGAAAAGAGCATGGGTGTGTTAAAAAGCAGGCCCACCGGAGTAACTCACCGTATATTTTGGCTTCTTCCACTCTCTATCAATGTCTCTCTTACCGTACCTCCTTATTAGTACCCTAACTTCCAAAAATTAAAATTACTACTAAAATCATTTCAAAGCCTGCAATGCTAAACTATTTTATACACAGTTTTTCATTTCAACTTCTTTTCAAAATCGCAATCCAAAATTTTATTAAAAAATGATTATTTTTAATTCTATGATTATTTTGTTTTAACTGAATATATCTTATATTTAGAACAAGAACCGTTGGTGTTGACTTTCTCCGCTCCTCATATTATGGGTCTCAGTAACCAAACCCCACCTTTATTATTGTTTAGGCCTTAGCCTTAGGGTAGGGCCTAAGAGTTAGTGCCTCTCTTAATGCATCACCTTTTGTTTTCCTTAATTTCACCACTCTCATCCACAACATAAGTAAACAAAAAAAATGAACGATAATGTTAGAGTAATAATTTTTATTTTTTGAGTATAATCACTTCCCATGCAAATTTAAAGGCTGTGTTGTGTTATTGAGCAGAGGTGGATTCCCTTTTGACCTCATAAATATTAATTATTTGACATTTAAAGCTTCCTTTTCTTATTACATGATCCGCTGCATGTGTTACATTTAAAGTTTGATGATTTGATTAGTATTAGAATTCAATAGAAGTGGTAGTATCAATATTCGCAACTTCAGAGTCATGCCTTTATTTGCGTGCTTTCATTTCGTGCTAGGAGCGTCTCCCGTTTATTGATTGCAGGTAGTTTTCGAATATTTTTAAGATTAATTTTTATGTTTGGGATTTTTTTTTAAATTTATTTTTAAATAATTTTTAAAATATTATATAAATTATTATTAATCTTAATTTTTAAATAATTTGAAACTCCCGAGTATATTCAAATCTACGATAAATAGTTTTTGTTTCTATTCAAGATAATTTGCGTCATTCTTTTCCAATACTGTGTGTATTTTAATCCATTTAGTACTGAATATTTGATGCATCATTTAAGAATTTTATTAAGACAATTTTCAAATTTATTAATTTTTATTTTATTTCTCACATCACATCCATAACTCATTTTCCAAGCAGACGTAAAAGATAATAACTAACGACTGAAAAACATAAATTAAATGACCATTTTTCACAACACTCTGATCCGATGGTAACATAATTTTTGTCTGCGATTTCCAAAAAGTAGGAGGAAAACATAACATAAGTATGGTGTAGCAATTGACCAAATTATTTGGTGAACATTTAACACGACTTTTTATTTATACTGTTCCAATTATATTTAAAATAATTAAATAATATATTTTAACCATATATCTAAACATATATTAATAACAATATAATATTTATTAAAATGATTTTATTAAGATAACATACTCTTTTTACAGATAAATTATTTTGGGAACATATTAAGAGAGAAAACATATTAAAAATGACATTAAGAGATTAATCCTCTAAATGATATAGTTAAAACAAATTAAATAATTTTTTATAAATTTATTTACTCAATTGTTCATACACAACATTTGATAATAAAAAATAAATTTATATAATAGGATTATTTTTACTTTTCTTTTTCTATATTCATTCATTGTTGTTTTCTAGTTCTCTCCTTTCTCTATTTCTTTTGTTTTATCTTATTCTTTTAATTAAATTTTGATAAAATAGATTTTTTTATTTATAAAAATACAAATATTTAAATTATTCATAAATATTATAATTTTATATTATATTTAAAAAATATTACATAATAAATTTGAATTATTATAAATATTATTATTATGTTATAATTATAAGAAAAAAATAAATATTTATTTTAAATACTTTTTTAATAAATATTTTTTAAAATTAGTTAATATGACTAATCATCATAACTTAACTTAATTATAACTAGATTATATTAATAAATAAAAATATATTTAACTCATAAACATTAATTTATTTTTAATTAGATGAATAATTAATTTATCATGATAAAAATTTTAAATTAATTATTTACGTTATTATAAAAAAAAATTATTGACTACCATAATAAATAAAAGTATTTATCATCATAATTTTAAATAAAATTAATTGATATAATTTTAGTTTTAATGTTGATTTTAAAAAATATTTTGACATGTTTTTATTAAATTTCAATAATTTTAAATAGAGTAATAAGGGGAAAGGAGAAAGAAAAATAACCAACTCTAAATATAATAAAAGAAACACAATAAGTGGATGAGAAAAGAAAAAAAATTACATATAAATAAATTAATACAAATTATACTTTAACAAATTTTTAAAAAATATATTATTTATACTATTCATTCAACATATTTTAGAACTTTGTTTATATAGATAATTTATAGTTATTTTAGAATTGAAGTAGTGATATATAGAAACTTTTATTAAATATAAATTTTTAATTAAATATAATATAGTATTCTATCTTTAATTTTATAAATATTTTTGGAAATAAAATAATTACTTCTTGCAATAAGTTTGTATTATTTTATTATATATAAATGTTACTAATATAATGAAGTAATTTAAACTTTGAATATAATAAGAATAAAAATTATAGAAACAAAATCTTTCGTAATTTTTTAAAAAATATGCGGATATAGATGAAATTCTATGTAAAATTTCTATAAAAAAAGTTACGAAAGTTACTTATAGTAATAAATTTTAAACAAAAACTTTATAATATTTGAAATAAAAATATACATTTTAATGCTTAATTTAGAATAGATAATGAATGAGTTGTGGAAGAAAAAAAAAAAAAAGAGAGATCAATAGTTTGTTGACAAGTGAAGAAGAAAAATAAAAAAAGAGAGAGACTGCATTAAACAAACTCCAATCGTTTCATGCTAATAAAAGAAAAAATATACCATAAGAAATTTACACAACAAAATTATAATATTGTGGCAGATTTGTATAATTATTTATGTTAATTAATTTTTTATAGGTTAAAAATATTTGTTTTCTAATTTTCTTTGAAATTATGTTTCTTTCTTATATCACATCAGATTTTTACCGTTTTACCATTACGAATTCTTTAGATGATTTTTATAAAATATTAAAAACAAATACATTTATAAGGACTGTTTCTAAAATATAAAAAATATATTTAACTATTTTTATAAGATAAAAATAATTGAAATTCTAATATAAATTAAAGATTACAAAATAAGTAAGTCCAACAGATTAACCTATTATTCTATTGTAAATACGACGGATACGAATTATTTTTGTTCGCCTTTTTTATAAGTAATAGTTAACATAAAGTTTTCATAGATGATAAATGATTATGTATTTTGTTTTAAATGTTTGAATTTTATAACTTAATAAACAAAAAACATATATAAATTTTAGTATTATATACATATTATTATTTATTATTATATAAATTTTATTTTAATTATTTTAAATAATAATTTTATTAAAAAAAATAAAAAAGACAAAAAACTAATTATTTTAAAAAATATATGATAAGTCAAGTTATTAACTCATTCATTTGTAAAATAGGTATCTAGATCGAATTTATTATAATGAATCAACTAATTCCATTTTATTTTTGATAGGATAAAATAAGATTGATTGACTTGTTTTTATATTCATAGTATACACATAAATATCTATATACCTGGATATGTATTTTATTATATTTTTTATTTAAATTTATTAAAATTTAATGTATATATTTATTTTAAAATACAAATATTTGTTTATGAACTGCAGAAAATAAATAATACATAAATAAAATCTAAAAAAAAGTTATATTTTTTTATTATTTTATATATTTTAAAAAAGTTAAAAAATATATTATTAGAGAAATAAAAGAAAGAAAGGTATAATATAAATATAGATTACATTTTTTCTTTACATGATAATATTAAAAACGGTTGTGAATTTTTTCTTTTATATTGTTATAAATATTTACATCTTTATTTATTTTTAACCCATAAATTTTATTCTATCTATTTTTTTTATTTCTTTGTGTTATATATTTTAATAATAGAAACTAAAGTGATATATATTATTTGACAGTGATATATATATATATATATATATATATATATATATAATTTATTTATATAGTTATATCATTTATGAGTACGTGAGTTGTAAACTGTAATGTCGATTTTCAATTCATGTTTGTGTTATGGTCGGCAACTGAGAGAACCACATACGCGTGTGACAGTGAGAGAGAGAGCAGTGTGTGTCTTTATGTACTTCCAACATCCCACTCTCTCTCTCACTCCCCACTCCTCATTTCCCCTCTCTACTTTTTCCCATCCACCAATCAACAACACACTCACTTTTCCCTTTATTTAGAACAATCTTCTTCTTCTTCTTCTTCGTTCATCAACCGTCACAATCTAACCTCCTTCTCTTCTCTCCATCTCACTGATCATAACCCTTTTCTCCTTTTTCCATCTGTATTCTTTCTCCTTCACTTCTATACCTTCATCTGTTATTCTTCTTCCTGGCCACAAAAAAAATACCTCATTTCCTTCAAACCTTTTCTCTGGCTTGTATTTTATTGTGACAAGCAAAGATATTTAATATTTTACATTGCCATGTTCAAAGTTGTGGAAAATATGGAGGTGGGTTCGGAAAGGTGCTTAGATTCTCAACTGTGGCATGCCTGTGCTGGTGCCATGGTTCAAATGCCACCTCTCAACACAAAAGTCTTCTACTTTCCCCAGGGTCACGCGGAGCACGCTCATGGGAAAGTAGATTTTGGCCAAACCCGGGTTCCACCACTCGTCCCTTGCAGACTCTCTGCCATGAAATACATGGCAGACCCTGACACAGATGAGGTGTATGTCAAAATGAGGCTGGTCCCTTTGAGGGAACATGAATTGGATTTGGAGGATGATTGTTTCTTGGGGAACACTGGAGTGGAGGGTCAAGAGAAACCTCCTACCTCTTTTGCCAAGACACTCACACAATCTGATGCCAACAACGGTGGAGGGTTTTCTGTGCCTCGTTACTGTGCAGAAACCATCTTCCCGAGGTTGGACTATTCAGCTGAGCCTCCAGTTCAGACAATCATTGCCAAGGATATGCATGGACAGTGCTGGAAGTTTAGGCATATCTATAGAGGGACACCTAGGCGGCATCTATTGACTACTGGATGGAGCAATTTTGTGAACCAGAAGAGGCTTGTTGCTGGGGACTCCATTGTGTTTCTGAGGGCAGAAAATGGGGATCTTTGTGTTGGGATAAGGAGGGCGAAGAAGGGTATTGGTGGAGGCGCCGAGTTCTCTTCTGGATGGAACCCTCTCTTTGGTGGGGGTTCTGGATTCTTGTGTGGGAGTGAGAGCAACATGGTGGGTGGTGCAAAAGGTGGTGGTGATGAGATGGTGGGAAGAGTGGCTGCTGAATCTGTTGTTGAGGCTGTAACTTGTGCTGTTAATGGTAGGCCCTTTGAGGTTGTGTACTATCCAAGGGCTAGTTCCCCAGAATATTGTGTTAAGGCTTCTGTTGTGAAGGCTGCAATGCAAATTCAGTGGTGTTCTGGGATGAGATTCAAAATGCCCTTTGAAACTGAGGATTCGTCTAGGATCAGCTGGTTCATGGGAACCATTTCTTCTGTTCAGGTTGCAGATCCCATCCGTTGGCCGGATTCTCCTTGGCGTCTTCTGCAGGTACAGTACACACCATTATTGATTTCCTTTTACTATTGCATTAACATGTTAACTTGTTCAGATCCCCTTCCTCAACTTGTCTTTGCTCAGAAGCTATACTTTATTCTCTCCGTGTTGTCCTGATTTGACCAACAGTGACATTGCTTCGTCAATGGTTAAACTATTCATTAGATTTCCTGTTTAACTCCTTTTCACCCTCATTTAAAACTGTTTAATGCTTAAAAAAAGATGGAGTACAGTTGACACTTTGTCAGACAAGATGATTTTTTCCCGATGTAATGTTTTTGTTTATCTTTCTTATTTATGTGTTGTGTGCTTTTCCTCTTAAATACTTAGTGGATGATACTGACTTCTTGTGCCAATTGTACGAGATGTGTGCAGCAGCAATTTAATTTACAGTATACTTGTTTTCTACAAATGGATTTTCTTAATGTTCTTGGTCCATTTCAATAAAAGAATAACGGTTAATAGTAATAACTGTTGAACTACGGTAAAGTAGAAAATCATTTTAAGCGTGTCTGCGCAGTGCTGACAATTCTTTCTAGTAAGTACCATGGTTGCTTCAATTAGGCACTGACCTCCACAGAAGGCCACTGTTGATTGAACTTTACTTTTGGAAGTCCGAGTTACCTTACCTTTTTACATTACTATGGCAGCATATTTGTCCTGTTCATTTTTTTGTTGGTTGGTACCTTTTGGGGTTAAAGTATGCTTAAGAATGAAAATAATCTAGAATTTGTGATGTCATGTTTCAGGTGGTGTGGGATGAACCAGATTTACTTCAAAATGTCAAGTGTGTAAACCCTTGGCTGGTTGAATTAGTCTCTAACCTGCCCACCTTCAATCTCTCTGCATACTCACCTCCAAGAAAGAAACAACGCTTCCTACAGGACCCATATTTTCAAGTCATCAACCAACTCCCAATGCCATCATTCTCTAGCAATCTTCTCAACTATACCAACTCTCTTTGCACCATTGAAAATAATAGTTCTGCAGGCATACAGGGAGCCAGGCATGCTCAATTTGGACTATCTCCATCTGATTTTCCCTTCAACAAGCTCCCAGCAGACATGCTTTTAGGTGGGTTCTCTAGGCTTGACCATGCAGCAAAGCCTATTAGGCCTCCTAGTGGAACCTATAAGAATGACTCTACCACTACTAACACCAATGTTGACATATCTTGCTTGTTGACCGTGGGAAATCCTGGCCAGAATTTTAAGGAATCCAAAGAAACAAAAGCACCCCACATCTTGTTATTTGGAAAACTCATTCACACTGAGCAAAAGATTTCAAACACTAGCTCTGTCAGTACAACTGGGAATAGTGTGTCTGAGGGGAATTCACTCAAGACATCTAATGCTTCTGATGGCATAGGTTCTGCTTTGCACCAAAATAGTCCAATTGAGAACAATTCTGATGGAGGGTCTCCCTGGTACAAGGATCAGCACAAGGCTGATCTTGGAACCGACAACGTTAGCACGTTATGTATTGCTTTGTAACAAATCAACCTATTTTCAGTTGCTGCGCCAGTGAGTTCTTGAAGTAATCGTGCGGCTAACTATTCTTAACATATTTCAATAGCTCTAGTGCTTCCTTTGTTGTATAGGTGTTGTTTTTCCTTCGGCATAATTGTACTTAGGTGCAAGTTAACAAAAATATTACCCATTTGATTCGTAAACATTTTAAAACATAATAATCATTGTGTTGCTATTCCAACTAAGTAATCATGAACTAGAGGGGTAATATTTTTGTTAACTTGCACTTGATTAAGCATTTCTTTAATGAGGGAGAATCCCTCTTTCAATTATGGGATGATGTAACTCATCATAGAGATTGTCTTTCTTCTTGATTTAATATTCAAGTTTTCATAAATTTCTCAAGGTGATCTTAAACGAAAAATGTTATTGCCTGTGTGTTCCGATTCTTTTATCATTCAGAAAAACCAGAATTATCAAACAGAGTAGTTGTACTACGTAACATTGAGGATGGTAACGGTCCACAAAAACATAAATGTCGGTATTTGAATTTGACAAGTGAAACTTAATGCGAACCAAATCGCTTGTCCCTCTTTCTTAGGAGTATCTCCTAAATTAGACCTTCAAATGCGAGTTATGGAAAAAAGAAACAATCATAAAGGCTGTTATTTTTAACTACGTGCAACTTTTTAATTAGGAAAATGGAGACATAGGTTTTCTATCAAATTACACAAGAAAGTTTCAAATAAAGATACTTGCCATATAAACAGTGATAATTTTTACAAGACTTTACATCCTTGAAGTAGTGATTAGATTTACCAAGAAAGCGAGATGGAGAAGTGGTCAATTAATTACTTTCCTCCTTGTAGTTACTTTAGGGGACATTCAACTAATCAGCAATTGCAGTCCCAAATAAAACAAAAATCTTCTTTCTTATTTGAATTTCACAGAGGTATGGCCCACGTATCGGTGGTGATCTCAGGATGAGGGAGATACACTCACTTCCCACGAAGTTTTCTAGGACATTGAACCATTCAGAAAGGATATGAACTTTCAATATAAAATGGCAATAAAGAGATTGGGTGAATAACATAATATGATATCAAGTTGAAGTTGATAATCACAATGCAGGCAACATCAGCCAATTTTATGCTTAAAAGATTTATCTAGTAGCAGGGTCTCAAGTATGGAACAGCACCTTGTTGTAGACTCCGTTGGCCGTTTTACCACACAATTGGACAATAAACCGTGTGCCTTAGTTGGAAAAGTATCCACTTCACCAAGATTCTCCTTAAGCCTCTCTCCCAAAAAATAAAAAACAAACACAAAAAATTATGATGTTACGTCGTAACAACTGCCAAATATTGCCAACATCAATCATGTTGGGAATAATTTAAAAACGTAGACAGTTGTCTCATCAGAAAATTTATTTAGTTAAATGGATCCGAACGAGGTAAAGTAGTGCATGTATACAAAAATTACTATGTAGATATGAAAAACTCCAAACCGCGTGAGTTTAATATTGGACCTTACTATCATATTGTTTTCATCTTCATTTTAATAACCTTATCCAAGGGGTTTAAATATGATAATCCTTAGGAGTACCTAATTTTATTTTATTTTTATCTCTTTATATTATGCGTAAGCTCACGATTTTTACTAACTGCTTTAAAAACATTAGGAACAAGTTGATATATAACACTTAGAACAAATTGAATATAAACAATGCGAAAAAATTCCCTCTTGAAATATAGCTTAAATGCATAACTAGACTATTGTTTCAGCTCAAAAACTACTGTGTAAGTTTTTTTCTCGGCACCATTTTAATATGAAAAAATTATTGTCATCTATAATAGTTATTTTGTTCGTCTTTTTTAATAAATATCCTATCGGAGCGGTGATGCAATAGTTAATCAATCCTTCTACTGTTATCATGTGAAGCAACCTGCATCTAATTTCCCAACCATTGGTGTAGCATAAGATAAGGTTGAGTCTGATGAGCTGGAATTCATAAACTAATAATTCTCTACAACTTCTTATTATATTCTTTTATCAAATTTTTATTTACGAAACAAAGAAAAATAGTAAATATGTTTTCTTTTTGATGTATAGAAAACAGATCTATTTCATTTAATATTTTATACAAAAAAAATGTAAAAATATACATCATTTATCGAATCACAAATCATCATCATCACAGATCTAACAATGCAAGCTTCTCAAGAAAGCAACTTAAATAACCGAAATTGGCAACCCAACAACTGGTATCCATGATTGTCAACGTTAACTTGGTGTGGCCATGCATATTTAAGTGCATTGTAATGTCTTTCCCCTCCACAGTGTATCTCCTCTTCAACATATGGGTGTCACCTGCCATTAAATATATAATTCATCATATAATGGTTGTTGTGATTGAAGGATCAGTCTTTGATTATGTGCCTCCTTAGATTTTGATTTCTACAAAGGAAAAATATATGCTACAAGGTTCAGGTCGTTGATCAAATGAAAGGGAAATTGGCAAAAATAAAAAATCATTAATTATTAAACTAAGTCTATTCTGCATATGTGAACTAGGTTAGCCACAAATTGTTATGTGCAAAATATATATATATTTTGTGTGTGTGTTAGCTGGATGGTATACCTAAAAAGTCTACTGGAGAAGAAAGTGGTAAATGGTAGTATGGTACAATATAAAACAAAAGACATTAATTAATTTGGAGAGAAAAATGCACGTGATCCTCTTCTTTTTGAAAAAAAAAAAGAAAAGAAATTTAGATGGAAAGGTCTTTGTTTAATTGTTAAGGTAGGACATGCTTTGTATAGTTGAATGATCGCTAATAATTGATAGTTTAATATTTTTTTAATGACTTGTCTATGACATTTGTAAGCAACACTATATTAACTTGTAGCCTAATTATTTTCGGTGTATAGTAGTAGCTGATATATTTTATGGCTATTACAAATTTGTGTAGACATATATGATCATTTGACTATACGTTTTTGCAGAAAAAATAACTTAGAAAGTTCAATTTAGCTATTGATTAACAAACAAAATAACTGTAAATGATATCAGAAAAGTAAATTTAAGTAATAAAAAGTTGTAATTCAATATGGTTAATAATGCAATGCAGATTATAATTGACAGATACTAATGACATTGACCAATAATTATACTGCAAACTTGCCCACATTTCATTCTTGTGTAAGTTGTTATAATGAATGGAAACAAATAAAAAAATGGCATGCATGCAGAAGATAATAATAAAGAAAAGGAAAAGCTACTCTTCCGCCTATGAAATGGCGAAATGAATAGCTTAGTAATCCACATTGCGATCCCCAAGTATGGCGCAGTTACAGGAAGAGAGTAAATGATCTCTTGGGATCCCAGTTATATAAATTTTTTTGCACTCACATGAACTTCAGATTATGACTTACTCAACTGTGTGTGTGGGTGCGTGTGACGTTGTTGCTATAATATACATATTTTTTTCCCAAGCAAACAAAGATATACAAAGGTCAAGAAACACAGCTCAATTCAACTATTTCATGCCCCCAACATCGGCACAATGTGTGTTTTTGTGTTGGACAAAGATTATGTATGCACAGTTGTTAATAATTTAATATAAGATTGTAGGGTTTGCATTGAAAGTTAATGAAGGTTTATTATAATGGCTGGAAATAGTTGGCTAACCCTGCCATGTTAATTTTTTTGGATCCATCACAGATCCCAAGAGGTTTCTTCATAAGTCAACTAATGCATCAGATTTCCCACATGGGGATTGGGGATTGTTCATTGTCAACTTCATCTGGTTCCATGTCTGCTTCGATCATAAATTTTTAATTGGTTTTATAAACATAATATAGACATGGTACATCGATTTTGAACAAGGTGTTCATATTTGTTGAGTCAGAAAAGTTGGTATTCCAAAATAATAAAGTCAAAAGCAGCATTTTCAAACATGGTTGTGATTGTGAAATTGCTCTAGTTGTCATCTGTCTATGGAGTTGACTGTATCTAAGCAATTACTTGAGTGATCAAATTATTATTTCAAAACTGGCTTCATGCACTCTACACACACTCGAGATGCTCAAACTAATCCACGGTTTAAATTCATCTTTTATAAGTTACATTAAAATCCATTAGCAATAAAGTCTCAATAATGCTTTTTTTTTTTTACATGAATTATACATCATATAAAAACAATGCGTGTCAAAATCAAATAAAATCCTTCTGAGTCTTACACTCTGATCTTTTCTGGGTTTTTGGACTAACTGGTTATAATTTCGGGAAGATTATACGTTACTATATACCAACCAAAGATTCACTTTGAAATTATTTTTTATTTTATAGTCCATCCACTTTGAAGTTCTACGTGCAGTCTTACAGTCCACCAATTATAATTCTTTTTGGTTTCTATTTTTAGGCTTTTCAAGAGTACTAAATTGATGCCATAAATCTAAATCAAATCCAAACTAAATCAATTAAATTGTTTTAGATTATTTGTGTTAATTGAATTAGTTTATTTTGAACCAAACTAATTTATTAATTTGGTTCTTGAATTAATAGTTCGATCAATTTTTTTTTTAAATATCTACGCTTATACAATTTATATTTTGGTATCTTAAACCTTTCTTTTTTGTTATGATTTTCATCTAGAATTACTAAATTTATTTGGTAATGTTTAGTATTACAAATTCTTTCATACATTCCACTAAATCAAATGTATAAAATCATAGCTATATAATTTTTAAATATTAATTAAAAATAATATTAATACTTATTTAATTTTCCTTAAAAAGTATTAGAGAATAAAAATAATTTTCAATTAAGATTAATTTTAAAATTTATATTATAATTAACACATAAAATAGAAGCCTAAAAATATGATAACTTGTTTAAGCTAACCCAGTGACTTCAACTGTTCAATACAATCTTAATCAGATTAATGTTACCTATCTAATTTTCATCTAGAATTTTTTTTAAAGAAACCAATCTAGTTAAATTTGATAAGTTTAAATTTGATTTTACTGTTGAACTAAATCAACTAAGATAAACAACCTTACTATTTTTGTCTTATAAATTTGTTTGTTGTGTTGTGGGGTTGATTTTCACTCAAGGCATAATTGGGTTTGTGTAATCGGGGCCCAAAAAGTTAAATTTGTCAGCATGCGTTGTTTTCAGCTTAAGATCCATCATTGTGTGGGCCAGAGAAGAAGGATCCATTATGTTGCCACTATCAGGAATACCTTAGACTGGGCTTTTTTTTTTCTTTGTCAAATCCACATCTCCTTCAAGAAGAACACAACTTACTAATTCACATTACCCTTTTTTCATTCACACTACCTCATGTTTCTTTAGGGAAAAGAGCATCAAAGTACCCCAAACGTTTACCTTCTAACAAACAGACACCATGAACTATATATAATCTTTAGCTTTATTACAGATTAAACTTTTATTATTGGTTCGGAAAAAATTATTTCCATTGTATACGAGAAAATCACAAAAAGACATGTTTTTGCCATATATTATAGGTTGACGACTCTTATATAAATTAACTACACAGCGAATACATATTTTTTATATTTTAATTTGATTTAAAAATTGAATGTAAATAACTTTTTAGAAGTAGATCTATCCAAATTTGTGATTTAATTACACAATCATAAAAGAAAAAAGGATAAATTTAGAATGTGAATAGCCGGAGTAACATAACAATCTAAATAGATGGTGTGGAAAGTAAAAGTATCAATACTGAGCCCGAGAGAACAGCCATGGGCCTGAATACGTTCCACAACTCAGCCCAATAAAAAATGACCCATCGGGAGCAATAGAAAATGGACACACCAGCTCTCTCTAAACCAGTTTCGAAGCTTAGTGTTCTTGCTTCAAACCAACCATTTGGATAGAATCTAACTAGTTTTATTTTAATGACTTTTATTGTACAAGTTAAATAACATTAAAACACGGTTTTACATATTTTTAACTACTCAGAAAAATAACATTACATAAAATTTATATTTTGTATTTCATTAGTATGAATAAGATAAGTTACTTTTTCATTGCAAATATATTTTTATTTTAACGTTTTTTTTGGGTAAGTGGATGAGGATGCAATGGTACAGTTTATCTGATGATTGTGTAAGGCAAACACCCAATCTCTGTGTCTGTTGTAGACAAAACTTGAAAACCACTGGAATAAGAATAAAACCAGGCCAGGAATAGGATTGGTGGAATTGGAAATTAGGAAAAGTGAGGTGGGTGTGTAAATGTGTAGCATGTCATGTCACGTGTGCAAGGTTTGTTGTTAAGCGAGGTTGGTGGAACAAACTAAACTAAACTAGAAGAAGGAGGTTACAGAAAAATTGATTACACAAACAAGTTCGCACTTGTCTCTAATTCTCCGTCAGGCCAATTCAACCACTGTCTCTGTAACTTTCATCGCATCACATGGCAGGTTTCATTATATTTCAACCCTTCGCCTTTTCTTTCGTTCTATTCATCCATTCAATTCATTTACATACCATCGTTCTTAAATTGCTTATCGAATTAATCATTCGATTAATAATAATAATAATAATAATAATAATTGAAATCGGAACAAGCGTTGGGCGTTGGTACGATCCAAGTTTCATGAAATTGTAGGGTAAACAGGTAGAGCTAGAGAAATAATTCACCCCACATTGATGACCAGAAAGATGTAATTGATGGAAAATCTGAATGAATCTGATAAGGGTGTGAATGTTTATCTGCAGCAACGTCAGGGAAGATTGTCAAAAATGTTTTTGTGTCACACAGCTTCCAACAGAATACACAGTTGTTCGCTTCACAGTCACAGGGTCGAAGGGACTATTATTTTGCCCCTTATCCCCGCAACTCAAACCTTCCCTCTCCGCTAGGGAAGTTGGCATGGACTGCCTCTTCCATGCAATTGCGCACTTTATACAAACCCCAGAATCATTTTAGTATCCAGAGAAATTTTCACTGCAATGGTCTGTTCTAGACTCTAATTATACTGGTTGATATGAAGTGAAAATACGCTTACATTAACACATTCAAAATATTGCTCTCTTTAACCCTTCCTTCACAGTCTTCTTACATGTAACAATATTGTGTCAGTATCTGTATATAGGGATACATTTGACTTGTGTTTTGTCGGAATCTGTTTTACTCTCAACCTTTTGGTTGTTTTTAACTAGCATGTTTTTCTAATGGATGCTTGTACATTCCGTTTCATTTGGACTTCTCTTGCAGCTTCTGCATCTGCATCTGCCACTGCTTTGCCATATCTGGACAAGACAGATTTTCTAAAGCTTCAAAATGGCAGGTGAAGATCGCTTCATTACAAGCAAGCTATCTAATAAGTTTATATTGCTACGAAATCTACTTCTTCAGCGGACGATCTGCCCCCTCCTTTTGTTCATGCCTTCCGTTTATTTTCCATACGTTATTGTAGTCAAATGGATGGTGTGCCCTGTTAATTATGTGTGTGTGTGTGTGGGGGGGGGGGGGAGAGACTAATAAGTGCAAAGTAAGAGATGAAAACATCAAAACAGGAAGAAAAGTACTCTGTAAAGGTTCTGAATGGTAAAATGAGGAAATGAGATGAACATGGAATATATTTGATTTTTTAATTGCTGTATGTACAGGATGTATGTTGTGTGTGTCTAGCATTAAGACAAAATGGAAGAAAAAATAAAACTTATAAGTATTCTTAGGAGCTTATTTTGTCCCTTCACACAAAATTTACAAGTTAATCATTTCGTGAAAAAACATTTTGTAATGGATATATAATCTTTTTACGTTCAGTATAATAATGATTGTAAACAGTAAAAACTCTTTAAAAGATAGCTTCTAGCTACAGAATCCCATCTTCCTTTTTATTAAGATGGCTAACATTCTTACATCCTGCAAACTGACTTGTATAAACATATAAATGAAATTAATTTAAACAGTGACATACGTGGTGTGGCTGTGGATGGTGTCGAGGGAGAGAAGGTTAACCTCACTGAAACTGTTGCTGAAGCAATAGGAGCTGCTTTTGCTGCATGGTTAGTGGAGAAAAAAAGGGTTGATCCTTCTCAGCATTTGAGAGTTTCTATTGGCCATGATTCCAGAATATCAGCCCAATTATTACAGGTTTAGATTCTTCTTTACAACATAGTTTTTTTTAACACCTACCTTTAAATGATTGTTGATTGTTGTAAAAGATTGTTATAAAACTAAATGGCTGTCCATTGTCAAATTTCAGAATGCAGTTTCTCGAGGGCTTGCTGGTGCTGGCCTAGAAGTTGTCCATTACGGGTGGGTGATATTAATTAAAACCCCAATATCTTCAATTACTTGGTCAAGCATATAACTTCACATTGATACTCTTTTTTCAAGATAATATATTATGTATTTTAGCATGTATTTTCAGTTAATTTGATCAAACTTTGCAGAAAGTTTTGGTTTGAAGCTTGAAACTCTGAAGAAGGTGAACAACAAGCTCTTAGTGCATTATTATAATTTGAGAATGGTAATAATGTGATGGGTTTATTTGTTGAGAAAAACTAAAATTAGTGGGAGACATGCTAGAATTTATAGCAAGTTTGTACCTTATGCATTTTCATGATTCTTATGTTTGTAAAGTGGATTTTAGTGCAAGGACTGGACTGGTAACGGACATCCAGGCATTGAAGGTATTGGGGACGATTGTTACAGATTGGGAGAGAGATAGGGTTAATAATGCAAAGGAAACCGATGATGGAGAAGAGCCCAATTTGGAAAAAGAAGAGTTATTAAAAAATGCCAATACAAGGTCCAAAAGGAACATACATGTACCAGGGAAATTCAAGGACTTCAAGATGGATTTTAAGTAGTAAATTCAATGTGCTTGGTGATATACATATATATTTCCTATTTTCTTTCTATTATTTGCTTTTCATTTATTCGTTGTATTTTTCTCTCTCTTATCGGTTAGAGATGTTGAGCATATGTAAAGGAGAATGTCTCTTTTATATAGAAAGGATATTGGAATGAGAAATGAGAACCACTGTGAAAACTGATTGGTTTAGTTGAGGTGCCTTCCCTCGAAAAAGGAATAATTTCCAAGCATTTTGGTGCTTTCATTGAGAGTGCTCCCTCAAGCATGTCCAAAAATTCTTCTGATACCTTGGAAGCTAGGCTTTCTCGGATGTTGGATAGTCATTTGGCTCTTCAACGCGACTACGAAGCCATTTCTACCAAACTCACAACCCTAGAAACCAAACTGGAAATTGTCGAAAATTTTGCCATTCCCAACAATTCAAACTCCATTCACAACATGAAATTGGATGTTCCTCGGTTTGATGGTTCAGACCCCTTGGGGTGGATTTTCAAGGCTTCACAGTTTTTCGAATATCATGAAACCTCGAAAAATCAAAGTGTAAAGAAAGATTCTTTTCTTTCTCTACCTCTCTCTTCTTCTCTGATGCACAAAGATTACCGAGAAACAAACTTTTTTTAATTTCTAAATGATGATTGACTTTACAAAGAATGACTTATTTATAGCCTCTGGTCCCTAGGAATCTTATCTAATTTCCACTTTTATTTCAGAACTAACTATTAAAAGATAAAACAGAATTTATAATAAAATGACATATGACAGTTTTCCCCCCCCATGAAAGCAGATCTTGTCCTCAAGGTCTGGTCAACGCGGAAGCCAATCAAAGCTTGGATGTTGGTGCTATAATTCCTGAAGCTCGTGCCACGTGGCATCCTCCGGATTTGTAAATTCCCATTGTACTAGAACTTCAGTGACAACTTTATTGTGCTTATTCTTCATACGTCTATCTAAAATTGCCATGGGTTGTAGAGTGACTTCTGCATCTTCATTAAATGCTAGTAATTGAGGGAATACCTGGTGATGTCCATGATGTTGCTTTAAAAGACTCACGTGGAACACGCCATGTATTTTTGTTCCAGCAGGTAACTCAAGTTTGTAAGCCACTTTTCCTATTCTCTCTAATACTTTATATGGCCCAAAATATCTAGCTGCAAGCTTATGAAAGGCTGAATTAGCTAGGGAATGTTGTCGGAATGGTTGGATCTTTAAGTAAACCATGTCTCCAATAGCAAATTCTTTGTCAGTTCTGTTCTGATCGGCATAAAACTTCATTCGTTCTTGAGCTTTTGTCAAATTGGTGTGTAATAGCCTGGAAATCTGATTTCTAGTCTTCACAATAAAGTCCACTACTGCTTCCACTAGACTGCCTTCTATTAATGTTGGGCAAGGTAGTGGCGGTTTGTAGCCATACAAGGCCTCAAAGGGGGTCATCTGAATAGTTGCATGAAACTTGGTATTGTACCAAAGTTCAGCAGGTGGTCCACTGTTTAGGTGTATTGCCTGTGATGCATCTTAAGTATCCCTCTAAGGTTTTATTTAATGCCTCAGATTGTCCATCCGTCTGAGGGTGGAATGCTGTAGATCTCAACAACTTGACTTTGTGGAATTTGAACAATTCATTCCAGAATGTACTCAAGAAGATAGGGTCTCTATCGGAAATAACTTCCTGTGGCCAACCATGTAACTTTACCACGGTTTCCATGAATTTAGTAGCAACTATAGCAGCACCAAAGGGATGTTTTAATGCTATGAAATGTGCATATTTTGTGTATCTATCTATAACCACCAAAATTACTGAAAATCCGTTAGACTTGGGCAGCCCTATAATGAAGTCCATTGTTATTGATTTCCAGGCCCCTTCAGGGATTGGTAAAGGTTGCAACAACCCTGCTGGAAGTTGAGGCAATGATTTGAATCTCTGGCATGTGTTACATTCCTTTACCCATACTCTTACCTCTTTACGTAATCCTTTCCGAGTAAAAATGTTGTTTTATTCTTTTGTAAGTCCGATCAATTCAGAATGTCCTCCGATTGGGGAATCATGAAAATGGCTAAGAATTGCCTGTCTTAGTCTGTTTATCCGCACCTACTACTAACTTCCCTTTTCTTTTGAGTAAATCGTTGGCATAACTATAGTGTTTGTGAGGGCCTCCTGTCGGTCCGATTACGTCAATGATCTTACGTAATTTGGGGTCTTGTTGCCAAGTTTGTTTGACTTTAATGACCAATTCATTTAACAAATGTGAGATGGTGACTAATTGTCCTGGAACACATTTTCTGGATAGAACATCTGCCACGACATTGTCCTTCCCTTTTTTATATTCTATACGAAAGTCCAACCCCATAAGCTGCTCTAAACCCCAATTCTGCATGAGGGTTGTAGGTGGTTGCTCAAGGAGATGCTTCAAAGCTTTCTGGTCTGTTTTTATTATGAAGTGATTCCCAAGGAAATAGTGGAGCCATTTCTTTACAGCAAAAAGAATAGCATAAAATTCTTTCTCATACGCAGAAAGGAGTTGAAAGTTAGGACCCATTGCTTTGCTGATAAAGGCAATTGGATGGTTATTTTGCAGCAGTACAGCTCCTATTCCATAAGTTGATGCATCAGTTTCTATAGTGAAGGGTTGCTGAAAGTTAGGTAATGCTAGAATAGGTGCAGAAGTTAATGACTGTTTGATGTTGTTGAATGCCTCCTCAGCTTTTTGTTCCCAAATGAAGGCTGTGTCTTTCTTCAACAAAGCAGTTAATGGAGAAGCCATTTTGCCATAGTTTCGAATGAACCTTCTGTAATATCCTGAGAGTCCCAAGAAGCCTCTAAGTTCCTTCACAGTAGTTGGTCTTTTCCATTTCTGAACAGCCTCTATTTTACTTATATTAGGAGCAACACTTTCCTTAGTTATTATGTGGCCTAAATATTTGACCTGCTTTGTGCCAAAATTGCACTTCTTGTAGTTTAATGCCAATGTATTTGCCTCCAAGATTTGAAGAGTTTGCTCGAGACAATGGATATGATCTTCCCACGTTTTTGTATAAACCAAAATGTCATCAAAGAACACAAGGATAAATTTCCTTAGATGTTCTCTAAACAAGTCATTCATGAGGTTTTGAAATGTGGCAGGGGCATTGCTCAGCCCAAATGGAAGCACTACCCATTCATAGTGTCCACTATGAGTTCTAAAAGCTGTCTTGTGAATGTCATCTTCAGCCATTCTGAGTTGGTTGTACCCACTCCTTAGATCCAACTTGGTAAAGTAAGTAGTTCCTTTTAATTCATCAAGTAGGTCTTCAATTAATGGTATAGGAAACTTATTCTTGATAGTGGCAGCATTTAACTTTCTGAAATCAGTACAGCATCTCCAGGATCCGTCTTTCTTCTCCACCAACACCAATGGTGCGGAAAATGAACTACAACTCTCTCTTATAAATCCAGTGGATAACATATGCTTCACCTGTCTTTCAATCTCCTCTTTTTGTGCTCGAGGATATCTGTAAGGCTTCAAGTAAATAGGCTTCTCATTTGTGAGCTCAATTTTATGATCATATTTCCTGTTAGGTGGTAATTGAGTAGGTTCAACAAACAAGCTACTGTATTCTTGTAACAAGTTCTCCAATTCCAGCTGCTGTTGTTCATCCAAATCACCAGTATTTTCAGGTATTATGATGTTAAAACAGAGAGGACCAATGATAGGAAATAGCATTGCCTGAACATCAATTGCTTTAAGTTTTCCACTATCCTGTAGCAGTAACTTGTTCTGCGTCTCTCCTTGTAATGTTATAGTGTTCCCTTCATGCTGGAATTTCATGGTTAACTTAGCACAATTCCAAGCAATTTCACCCAATGTTCGAAACCATTGCATGCCAAGGATTTTGCCGAATGTTGTGCCCAGTAATACTAGAAAATCTGCTGTAAAACTGTGTGCACCAAATTTCCAAGTTAGCTTTTCACATTTCCTTGAGATCGTAATAGGTGTGCCACTAGCAACTACAACTGGAAAATCTTTAACAGGTTGAGTTTTTAAGCCCAGTAACTTCACCCACTTAGCACTGATGAAGTTATGAGTGCTTCCGGTGTCCATTAGGAAAGGTACTGCCTGTTTTTTAATGAGACCTTGCAACTGAAGTGTGTTGCCACCTGCTATACCCCTCAAAGCATGTAAAGAAACATGCACATTATCACTATGCAGCATTGCTAAACTGTTTTCTACTATAGATTCATCATCTTCATCTTCACTAACATCTGTGTTTTCTTGATTGAAGTTTTCTTGGGCACAAAAAATCGCATTTAATTTTCCCCAAACTTTACATCTTGATCTATGATTTTTCTCCCACTGTTCACCACAAAATCTACACAATCCTTTGGAGATTCTCTCACTAGCCTCTTTTGTAGATGAAATAGAAGTTGAGCTTCCCTTAGAGTCCGGATAAGCTTGATTAGTAGTGGAATTCTGAGAGTGATTTTGTAGTGTTGTGATGGGTGGATTTCTGGATGTGAATGGTTGATTAAGCCATGGTCTTGTGTAGCGAGGTTGCACATTGGAAGTTACTGATTTCTCTGTAGAGATCTTCTTGTCTAATTCTTTATTAATACCATCCTGTAATCGTGCTAGACGTATTGCTTCTTGGATGGATTTGGGGTTATGAAGACGAACTGATTTCTCTAAATGACTTTCCAAACTTGCGAGGAAGAAACTGAGAGCCATGCCTTCAGAGATCACCACACGCGCTAGCAAAGAATCAAATTTTTCAAGATATCCAGGCAAAGATTCTTGTTGCCGTAAGCGCGAGATTTCAGCAATAGGGTCATCGTAGGCTCCATCATCAAATCTATTTCCTACATCAAGCAAGATATCGTTCCAAGATTTCGACCTGAAGCTGGGGTTTTTGATGTAATGTCGTTGCCATGCAAAGGCATTGCCTTCCATGGATAACAAGAGCAGTTTCCTTCTTTGGTTCACTGGTGTTCCTTCTAATTCAAAAAATTGCTCTGCCTTGGCTCGCCAAACCCTAAAGTTTGTGCCATCAAAATTGGGAAATTGAAGTTGTGCGCGATGTAATACTGACGTAGTAGATTCGCTTTCATCGTCGTTTGGAGGTGGAATGTTGGTTCCCGCTGTTAACGCCGCCACGGAAGCTGCTAGAGTCTCCATAGTTTTCTGCATCGCCAACAATGTCTTATTCGTTTGTTCTTGTGAATCTGCAAGAGATTTCTCAAAAGATTGCCCACGCGTTTCGAGTTCCTTGTTGGTCACCATGATCGTTGCCTTTCAACTGATACCAATTGTAAAGAAAGATTCTTTTCTTTCCCTACCTCTCTTCTTCTCTGATGCACAAAGATGAACGAGAAACAAACTTCTTTTTTAATTTCTGAATGATGATTGACTTTACAAAGAATGACTTATTTATAGCCTCTGATCCCTAGGAATCCTATCTAATTTCCACTTTTATTTCAGAACTAACTATTAAAAGATAAAACAGAATTTATAATAAAATGACATATGACACAAAGAGTCCGTATCGCTGGTTTTTACATGGATGGAGAAGCTTTAAGTTGGTTCCAATGGCTTTATGAGAACAACCAAGTTACTACTTGGCCGACATTGATACTGGCTATACAATCACGCTTTGCCCCTTCTCAATTTGAAGATCTAGCAGGTGCTCTGTTCAAACTAGCCCAAACTTCCACCGTCTGAGAGTATCAGCAACAGTTTGAAACCCTGGCCAATCGTATTGTGGGTTTGCCGACGAATTTCTATTTGAGCTGTTTTGTCTCAGGTTTACAAACAGAGTTACAACGCGAGGTGAAAGCACGACAACCGACGAATCTCACGGAAGCCATGGCGCTTGCCAAAGTGTATGAATCAAGGTTCGACGATGGTCGTGTGAAACCCAGTAATGCGTCAGCTTCAACGAACATCAAGCCTTTCTGATCTTACACTACCGCCTCATATGTCAATCAACCGGCCAAAACCACATTTCAATAACATTCTGGCGTTAATTCGAGACTAAACTCTGCTAGATCGGTACAGTCCAACCGATCACCTACGATTAAAACCATGACAGCGGAAGAACTTCAATCACAACGGGACAAGGGTTGTGTTATTACTGTGATGACAAGTACTTTAAAGGCCATCGCTGCAAACATTCATTCATGGTACTGTTAGCACCTTAGTCATCAGCTACTGTGGAAGGAGAGTTTTCGAACCTTCTTTTAGAATTGAGTACAACCGGACCCGAACCTGATGCGCCACCCGACTCACCACCAGCACAAATTAGCCTCCATGCCTTAATGGGCCATTCGGTGCCACAAACACTACGAGTATCGGGTCAGATAGGTAAATCTACAGTATCCATATTGATTGACAGTGGGAGTACCCACAATTTTTTGCAGGAGAGACTAGTGAGATTTTTTGCCCTACAAACAACCTTAGCCCAAGGTTTTTGGTCCAAGTGGGTAACGGTGAGGAACTCCAATGTACCAAATTGTGTAAAGAGGTAGACATTCATGTTGGGCCACATACGTTTCAAGAGGATCTGTTTGTGTTACCCATTTCTGGGGCATATGTGGTATTAGGGGTGCAATGGCTCAAGAGATTAGGGCCTGTATTGACCGACTATGATAAGCTAGTGATGAAGCATGCAGCTGATAAACACAGGCTTACAACGCCGTTTAAGGTCGGAGGCAAAGTAATGGTGAAGCTCTGTCCTTATCGCCAGTTGTCTCTTACTGGTCACAGAGTTCAAAAGCTTGCTAAACGCTACTATGGTCCTTTTGAAATTATTGAGTGCATTGGCGAGGTGGCTTATCGACTGGCGTTACCTTCCCAGGCCAAACTACATCCGGTTTTTCATGCCTCCCCGCTGAAACCTTTTACAGGCTCTGCTGATACTGTTCCCCTAGACCTTCCCTCAAGCACCAACATCACTCAACCCATTCTCTAGCCTCTCTCCATCCTTGCGATTGATAACTCATCACCCCAACGTGTGTTAGTGCAATGGGAGGGTATGTTCCCAGAAGATGCATCATGGGAGGATCTCAAGGAGCTGCAAGAGACCTATCCCACTCTACACCTAGAGGACAAGGTGTTTGTGAGGAGGGAAGATGTTGCAGATTGGGAGAGAGATAGGGTTAATAATGCAAAGGAAACCAATGATGGAGAAGAGCCCAATTTGGAAGAAGAAGAGTTATTAAAAAATGTCAATACAAGGCCCAAAAGGAACAAACATGTACCAGGGAAATTCAAGGATTTCAAGTAGTAAATTCAATGTGCTTGGTGATATACATATATATTTCTTATTTTCTTTCTATTATTTGCTTTTCATTTATTCGTTGTATTTTTCTCTCTCTTATCGGTTTAAAGATGTTGAGCATATGTAAAGGAGAATATCTCTTTTATATAGAGAGGATATTGGAATGAGAAATGAGAACTACTTTGTGAAAACTGATTGGTTTAGTGGAGGTGCCTTCCCTCGAAGAAGGAATAATTTCCAAGCAATTGCACTGGAAAAACAAGATTTAGTTGGAAATACTTATTAGTTGCTCAATAATTACTTAGTTTTTTAATGTACTTTGTGATTGTTGTTGAGCCTGGTTTTTTAGCTGACTATCTGGTTATTTTATTGTCTAATCACATGAAGGGAAACTAACTTGAGTTATAAGCCGTAACTATTAAGTGGCTATTGTGATTTGCATATCATTAGATTATTGATAGTGACTAGTTTATCTGTCCCTTTAGATGAGCCTAATCACCAGTGGAGGAATATCATAAGTACCAGTTGATTCTACTTGAAATCCCATACATAATAAATGGTTTTGGAACAAAGTGAGCCGGGTTGGATCTTGTATGCATAGCCATTGGATTAGCCCAGTTTATCTGATATGATACTATTTCCCTGTTTCTGTTTCAGCATATGCTTTGTTTGATAAATTTCACCATGGATACATAGTAAAAATTTAAACATGTTTTAGCCCCTATAAAGTTAGTGATTTTTGGTTTTAATCCTAAGAAAAAAATAATTCTTTGGTTTTTATCCTTAAAAAAGTTGAAAATCTTATTTCCAATCCCTATGATTATGTGACACTCATTAATTACAAATTCACCATTCCTAGTAAAACTTGCTACTGTCTGAAGTACAACATCTACCTCTAAAACTTTTTCTAAATCTCTTAAATAAATGTTACTTATGTACCTTGAAATGAACTTAAGTGACATAAAAGGTGATTTTATATTTTGGAGGGACAAAAATTAAAGAAATATTTAGATTAAATCAAAACTTGCTTATTTTATAGGGACTAAAAAAAAAATTTAAAATTTTAGGAGATGACAAACAAAGAAAATGATATAAGGACAAAAATTGAAACATGTATATTTTATAGGGACTAAAAATATATTTGAGCCTAATATTGTTAATGGCCTAATGTATTAATGTTGTCTATTCATTTCTAGATTAGCATCAACACCGGCCATGTTCAATAGCACACTCACAAAGGATGAAACATTTTTGTGTCCTGCTGATGGATCTATTATGATAACAGGTACGTTATAAAGTTCTAAATGGGATTGTTTTAACTTTTAAGATTTCCCAGTTGCTTCAATCTTGTATCCTTTTGAGCTTTACCTTTTGTCTCTTGGCTTACCCATTTATGCAAAAGCCATTTCGGATGGATCTGTAGAGAATGTGGGGCCTTTCTTCGAGGGTAGGCTGCCTCCAAGTAAGATAGAAGAAAAAATAGAAATATTTCTCTCTTCTTATGGATTGGAGATATTTACATACAAATAGCAAGGATTTTTCCTTATAGTTCAAAGACACATCACCACTATTCAGAGAATCACATCTGCATATATCCTAACATCCCAAAGAGAAATATTACCCTGAACCCAAGCTTACATTATCATTCACCCTTTCCCAACTAATTGGTAACATACACTTCTAGATACTTGGACCTTATTCTATTACGTTTAGGCTTTATTTCGATTGCCCTTCTCACAATAGTCCTCCAAACTCACCAGCCATCAACTTCATTTTGGGTCATAACATAGCACAACCTTCTCTTACTAAAAATTTAATGAACTATGTAGAATATTGCCAAGACGGATGAAAGACAAAAATTAAATGCAAATGAAAGCTGAGAGACAATGTCAATATCAAAAGCTTTGGTTTTTTGGTTGAGTCCTTTTCTTGTTTAACCATTTTATTTAGGTTGAGTCCATGAATTACGCCATTTTATTTATGTTTCATTTTGATTCTGATAAGTCATAAAATTATTTTTCATAGATAAATGAATTTGGACATTAGTTTGTCTACTAATTATTTAATGTCCGGTCTGTGAACAGCAAGTCATCTGCCTTTCAACAGAAATGGATTCAAATTTTTCACTAATGCTGGTGGGCTTGGGAAGGCTGACATCAAAGATATCTTAGAGCGAGCGGCGGACATTTACAATCAATTTACCCCAGAAAGTTTGAAGATTTCAGAGAAAAAAGCTGTACTAACTATTAAGAAAGTTGATTACATGATTGTCTATACATCTGATCTAGTAAAAGCGGTTCGCCAAGCTGCTGGAAACATAGGCATGACTTCGCTGAAGTATTTTTATAATAGTCAATATGTTTGGAGATATAATTAATGGATTGTGCTTTAAATGAAGTGGTGGAATAATGGAAATCTAATTGGGAGACATGTTTTATCATTCAAGTTTTTTCTGTAAAATTTTTAGTTCTTCCTTTTGTTATTATATTCCTTTCCTTGTTTGATAACGTTTATTGCATTGTTTACCCAACAGAGAAACCATTGGAGGGTTTCCATATAGTTGTTGATGCAGGCAATGGAGCAGGAGGCTTTTTTGCAGTAAGTTACATTTAATCTCCTTGACTATTATTTTTCTGTTAATAACTTTCTAGTATTATGCATTTTCACTTGAAATATTTATACAAAAGGGTGTGAAAAATTTTACACTTCGAAAGTGAGAAATGTAGGGTAAACTAAAGTGCGTACTGATTAAAAAAATCAGTATATTATGGTAAAATATATTCACATGTATAACAAACTATAACTTAAACCTACCCCATTATTGATTTTCTATCCAATGGGTATATCCACAATTTTACTTGAAAATTTTATATTTTTCTTTTTTTGACAAACTATTTTGCATAATAATTACATATAATCATGTCTTAATGAGAAGTCTTCTGTAAACTGTGTTTTTATATGACTTACCTCTGAAATAACCATAGATGGGCCTATATGTATGAATAATGTAATATAGTTTTATTTTGGTTTCTGGCGCATCTCACGTGAAATCATAGAAATTATTTTCCCACAATTAGAAAAAGGAATCTGTACTTACAGTAGAACTTTTTGCCCTATTAAGAGACAGTTGTAGTTAATATAATATATATATATATATATATATATATATATATATAATTTTTCTTTAAAATGAGAGTTACAAGCATATGCACACTATTTTTTAAACTGCAAGTAGAACCGATAATTTATAGAGAAATATATCTATTGGGAATGTTTACAACTGTTATATCTATTGGAAGACTGGAACTGAGGTACGTGAGTTTTGATAGGATATTAAAAATAAAACCAGCTAAGCTAATTATTGATGATGATCGTTTTATATAATTATATTATGCATTACTTTAGTAAAATAATACTTTTCTAGTAATTTTTCTAAATTTTCTCATTTATTTACTCTGTGAGACCAGTAATTCAGAAATCAATTAATTGATTTTAAAAGTTATTCATAATGAAATATTTAGATTATTGTCTATAATTTGAAATCATTCAGAAATTTAAAATGTTTTACTGGTTAAGGTTTTCCACTCTTGAATCAAAGTTGATACTTGATATTACTTTTTGGTGAATAGGCAAAGGTTTTGGAACCTCTAGGGGCAATAACTTCTGGTAGTCAATTTTTGGAGCCTGATGGTAATAACCTTATCTGGAGGAGTGATTTGAGTGGGTATGGTACGTGGACTGTGATCGACTAATGGATTTTGTAAATTCATTCAGGTTTGTTTCCAAATCATATCCCAAATCCTGAGGATAAGACAGCAATGAAAGCTATAACCCAAGCAGTCCTCGATAACAAAGCTGATCTTGGAATTATCTTTGATACTGACGTGGACAGGTAAGGATCTTAGTATGCGATTTCACACATGCCGCTACTGTTTATAAATTTATTAAGCATCAATCACTTTCATCTGTAGATCTGCTGCTGTGGATTTCACTGGCCGTGAGTTCAACCGGAATCGATTGATTGCCTTAATGGCAGCTATTGTTCTTGAGGAAGTAAGGCTCTTAACTTCAGCTTATTCCAGACCCGGATTATTAACCTCACATTTCTCTGATCAGTGATTTCTCATAATTCTTTTCCTTCTCTTATTTTCTGTAGCATCCTGGAACAACTATTGTCACAGACAGTGTGACTTCTGATGGGCTTACTACCTTTATCGAGAAGAAACTTGGTGGGAATCTAAATTGCCATGACCTTTAGTTACCCTTTCTCACCTTCTTTTAAGAGTTCATAATGAACAATCCTTTGCTCGAATAGCAAATTACTTGAACTCAGATTAGTGTTAGTAACTTGCTAATGCTATTTTTCTTAGGTGGCAGACACCATCGGTTCAAGAGAGGCTACAAAAATGTGATTGATGAAGCTATTCGTTTGGTATGATGAGTGTTTGGCTATAATTCAATGAATTATGCATCAGATTATTTAACCAAGAAAAACCTTTCACCATGTGCTTGTCCGTGCCAATATTTCAATTTTTGAAGCTTGTACATTTTAGCTAACTTTATTCAACATGGGTCCCAAGAGTAATGCCTGGCTATAATGCAAAACGGAAGCAGTCTGCGAAATTATTTGCAATAAGATACCTAGCTTCATTTGCAATAACATACCATTATTTGCAATATTGCTGACAGAATTCTATAGGAGAGGAGTCACATTTGGCAATTGAAACCAGTGGACATGGAGCACTCAAGGAGAATCACTGGCTTGATGATGGAGCATACCTAATGGTATGTTATTTTAGTCATATTGAGTAAAAAAAATAATCACCAAATTATTTACTCTTCATTAATCAATTACTATGATATTATACCTACTCAGGAGTTGAAGAACCATTCAACTATAAGATCAAGATGTTAGTAAAGGACCACAGACAAAGCATGTTGTACACCTCTAACTTGCTCCGAACTGCCCTTAACTTGACACTACGTTGTATTAGAATGTGAATAAAGCACTGTGTTGTAGAATCAATGAATAGATCACATTGGGTTAAAGAGGTTCCGATATTATGTTATAAAACTGCTTTACTAAGCTAATCATGGTCCAAGATTAGTTTTAATATTCAAATTTTCAACCAAGGCTTTCATGTGACATTTCAATTCTGCAGGTCAAGATCTTAAATAAACTTGCTTCTGCAAGAGCTTCTGGAAATGGTGGTGGAAGCAAGGCTTTGACTGATCTAATAGAAGGACTTCAGGAACCAGCTTTTTCTGTAGAATTGAGATTAAAAATAAATCAAATCCATCCAGATCTTAAAGGAGGGTAAGCTAGTTTATAAAGGTTCTCTGTTTGTGTGCTTCCATCCATTATTGTCATTGATTCACTGACATGTCTGAGTTTTTAGATCGTTTCGGGAATATGGAGAAGCTGTGCTGAAACAATTGGAGAGCTCAATTGGCTCTGATCCAAATTTGCACAAGGCTCCTGTGAACTATGAAGGGGTATGTCTGTCCCTGCTTATCCTAAATTGTAAGCCTGCTTAGTTAGCATTAACGATGAAATTTTAAGTGACAAATTATTGAGACCAGTTTTGACTAACATGTTTCAAAATTGGAAATTGTATACAATTCGATGCATTGATTGGTTTGCTCACTTCCTGTTCCCGATATAATTTATTGCTTGTCTGATCAATCTTCAACCAGGTCCGAGTTTCTGGCCATGGTGGATGGTTCCTTCTTCGGCTATCACTCCATGATCCTGTACTTCCCCTTAATATTGAGGTATAGGTCCTCACACCTCGTATTTGGGAGTTTATATGCAATAGTAAAACAATGCAACTAATCAGAATTAACATAATTGTCATTGTAGGCACCTAGTAGAGACGATGCTGTGAAGCTCGGACTTGCTGTGCTTGCAGCTGTAAAGGACTTTGCAGGTTTAGACATATCAGCCTTGAACAAATTTGTTGGAGCATCCTAATTCAATGCTTCATACAAAATTTGAGTTGGGTGCTGGAAATGCTTTCGCTTCTATTTTTTGCGTTATACGAAGAGGATCTCTATACTTGCATCAGCGGCAACAGAGGGTGGATTAATTATTGTCATGAGACTGATGTATTGTGTTGTGAATTAGGAATATCAGAGATCTCTATAAAAAGAATTTTAATGACACATCAAGATCTATGGTGTAATTTGGATTGTGCTTTGCATTTAATTGTTGACATTTTTTCTGATATAGTCTTGGATCACTAACAAGCAGTATGCGGCCTTTCCATTTTGCTGAAAGAATCATCCATTGGTTACCAACTTCTTCTCTTGACTGGAAAAAAAGAAAAGAAAGTGAAAAATGAGGAAACATAGAAATTAAAAAAAAAAACTGAAACGGTAGACCCTCTTACCATTATTGTTTGAATATGATGATCAAAAGTGAGAGTAAAAAAAATGAAAAAAAGAAACGAGTAAAAATAAATGCTTTTCACGCATTATCTCGATTTTCTCAATTTCTTTGCACGTCCCCCGAACCAAACCTCCTGCACGGTGTTTTCTTTGCAAATCAGTGCCCCCTCCTCTATCTCTGAAACAAACACACTGTTAATGTTTAATCCATAAACAACAAAACAACTCGAAGACCCTGGCAACTTTATTTTCTTTAATGTAAAGTTTACTGGAAGGAGTTGATTATTTGTCATTAGTGTGGGGTGGACAATTTTATTCTGCCCGTTGTTATTTGTCTGAATGCATTCAGATACAAAAGAATGCCAACTACTGTACAAATGCTTGATACTGGAGCAATCTAAAAAGTTCTCGAGTGATTTTTCCTCTAATTATTTGTTTTTTCATGTACATTGTTCAATAACAGACTGTCCTTTCCATGTGCCTTTTTTCTCTTAAAAACATTATGTTTCAGAACATAAATATTGCCTACTCTGCAGTATCTAATCTGATATAGAAGCAGCTTAGTTGTTGAGAAGCTTCATCATGAAGTTGAACTTCATATCTGGTGAGGTCTTTGGCTGTGGCCAGTTAGCTCCTTCTGGAACCTTGATAGACCTGAAACCTTGGCCTTGGTATAACTTTGTGGCCGCAGGATTTTTTAAATCACAGTGTAATGCAATAGCACGACAGCCCCAACTTCTGGCTTGTGATTCTGCCTTTGCTACCAAATGTTTAGCTATTCCCTTCCGCCTAAATTTTTCCCGGACTGCCACATTTGATATGTATGCAATTCCAGTCCTACCATTATTTTTAAAGAAATAACAGCCATCAGCAGAAATTCAGCGGTAAACTGATGTTCCAACCCAGAATATCATGATCCGACATGCCCATGTACATAATTAGAACAATCAGAAACCATTTTGAAGGTAAAGGAGGTTCAAGTTTCCATATATTATAAGAGAGAAATGCTTTTAACACTTTTTTTTCTGGTATGTTCTTTTAACACTTTTTTAATTGAAATTTGTCAAAAATAAAAATTTTATAGATCATGCATCTTATTTAATGAACCTCTAATGATTTTGTAATTTATAACAAAATTTAGCCAAATGATAGAATACAGTAGAAAGTGTATTGTCTGTACTCGTTATTGCAATATTTCATAAAAGCATATTTTTGGCACATTCAGTTGAAGGGCTACAAATTAATCAATAAAGAAACTGTGAATGTGAGAAAAAGAGAGCATGTAATCAGTTAATACAAATTACATAGATTTATGCTATGTTGGGATATCATGGCCATATTTAGTTGGTTTGAGACTTGGGTAAAGCTGGATGTGCTTAGGGTATCCATGATTTAACAGAACATAACTATCTGGAATAAAATACTTCTCAGAAAGCTATATCACTGGTTGGTGCAGAGGCCATTTTCCACTCATCATTTCCTATGTTTGGTACAGCAGTCGATATAGACAAAGGTCATATATTTTCTCATATAATCCTCCTCCTTATCAAGAGACTGGCTTTACAGAGTTTGACAAAAGAAGGCGTAGGCAAAGTTACAGAAGTAAAAATAAGAAACATATTCATTAGAACATGAACTATGAAGATACTCACAAGTCAAAGGCTGACAACATTATATAGGCCACATAAATTATAAAGACACGAACCAAAGTTCGAGAAGCAAGCTTCAACTCACCTTTTCTGCCGCAATGGCCCCTTCCTAGGTAGAAAGTCAGCAACAGTATCTATTGTTAATATACCAGCCACATATCCCTTGTTGAGGCCGAATTTCCCATCAAAACCACCAAACTTGAAATCTTCACTTCCAAATAAAAAAGTTTCACCAAGTGAGTTGCCAATAACAGCAACCAAGCATGTTCTCTTGCAACCGTTTGGTAAAGTGAATCCAGCCAACATGGCCACCAATCTGTCCATCCTCAGCACAAAATCTAATGGGAAGGAGTACTCAGGGAAGAAGGAGCTGCAGTGAGTCTCTGCCACTTCCCAACAGTCCTCCAACCTGGCCTCCCGCACAATAATTTCAGGAGACACAGTTGGGAACAAATCAGCAACTTGACTTGCTCTACATAATCCTACATCCAAACACCACACCCTAAGTATGAAGGGTTTAACTCCTCTACAACGAGAATATAAAAGTATATCCACCATTAATTTAAAGAGTACTAAATTTGTGAGACACATTATTCAAATCAAGAGTGGATACACCCTTATTGTCCCATATGCGTCAGTTTAGACAAACTAGATTCAATAAATAGGAAATATTCCACCACTCTCTGACCAGTATTCCCTTCCATAAATAAACGAGGCCCACAAAGTATAGTTCTGTATTAGATGAAATCAAAATCCATAGTACTGAAAATGGAAACCTGGACAAGAGTCTGACCCTGCTTATATACGATGCTCATCATTGATGATCAAGGTACAATTTAAGAGTTAGGATTATGAGAGCTAAATGATGTGTAATTCCAAATGACTTCAGAGAATGGCATTGCCTCTTTCTTATTCTTAAAATGACATTAAATATTATTTCAAAAATTCATTTCTACAATCATCCCTCCCCAGATTACTCACATAAAATCCTCTACTTTGATCCTCCTCCGATCACCTGTTTTCATTTTCCCCACCATTTCTCTAGCCAGTCTCCTTGAGACAAGTTGACTCCCGCTTTCAAAATTCTCAGACATCATCAGCTTCCAAGAATACGATAATTAAAAAAAAAAAAAAAAAAACCATTTATCCACCTCATCTAACAACATTTAGGGTTTGACACAGATGTGCTAATACATCAAATTCAACAACCCATCTACTGAATTCCTTAAAAAAAAAGTCAAGCATGCATAATCCAGCAGTGAAACAAAGTTTTGAAAAAGAACAACAAATTAGGCACCTGATTGGGAGAGAGAGAATTCATGAGGAGGAGTTGAACCCCAAGATGGAAAAGTAGTTGGTTTCTTAAAATGAATATTGAAAGGTGATATTTTTGAGATGTTTATAGGAGTTGCAGATAGTGAGGTTCCCAAAGGAAATGACCGCATTTCTTGGAGGGGTGTCTTGCTCACTCAAAGAATCCTAAGATTCTCTGTGAAATTGAATCATCACATAACATGAGAAGGGTGAGTGAACTGAGAACAACTTGGATGACCAATGCTAAGCTTACAAGACTTTCCAAACTAGTGGGGACCAGCTGATTCTGACAACCTGATTCATAAAGATTAGAGTTAACTATTTGTCTTCAATTTCCATCCATGCCTTTCAGATTTTTTTTTCCTGCATCTGATAGATATATGGTTTTGTTGCAGTGTTTTTTTTAAATAAACTTCATTTTTTTATTTTATCATCCTTTTTGTCCAAAATAATGTTTTTTTAGGTGATTAAGTATAAACGAAAACCATTTCTATGAAATGATATCATCTTTAATTATGTTGGTTAAAATTTTACCTCCAAGATTAATTAACCTTTCCACAGTTGATTGAGTTTGCTTTAAATGAATAAATAAAAAGTTCAAAAAGAACACGACATGGAGTGATCGGTTTTCTCCCTAAACATGTGTTCCTGGGTGGCTGCGTTTTTGTTTTGTTTTTGATGAAGGTAATTTGAAATTGAAACTAGACATGTCGCGTGGAAGTAGAAACACCTTTCATTTCTAACCTGTTCTGAATGGTGGGTGAGAATGAAAGTGCAAGTGCATTATTATCATTGTGCAAGAATTACAGATATTAGATAGGTTGATTCTGTTATTCTAACGATGAGTGCTAAATGTACAAGTTTAACAACTCATTGGATATATTCTCTATTATTAGTTAAAATTTATGATAGAACTTATTACATGAGAAGTAAAACTCACAAATTTTTATAATTTCTAATAAATTTCAATTTATAATAGAAGGTATACTTATTATAGGAGCACACATTTTTCATTCATATGGACATAAACACCACATGGGTATTTCTTTCTGTATATCTTCACTTTCCAATCATTCCAGAATAAAAATATATATTTTGGAATTAATAGGAGGTGATCCCATAATTAGCAAAGTGGAATAAGTTAGAGTCACAGTCAACAAATTTTACTTAATATAATAAGCAGGAGCACCCATAACCGAAATAACCTTTTTATTAATAGATATAGTGCAAGACTTCATAGTTATGATTTTCACGCGTCAAAATTTCAACAACTACTACTCAGAACACAATCTTACGATTGGTTTGAATTTGAAAGGAAGAAAAATATACCGTGTAACTTTTGATTATTTAGTTGGATGAAAAAAATAATACAGAGAAAAATTAAGCTATTTTGGATAAAGTATTATTATTTCGTTAAATTTCTTGAAAAATCCATATAAAATATTATTGAGCTGATTCCAATTAATTATGTTAGTTTTTTTTTTCAACAAGAAAAAAAAAAATATTCCGCGCAAATTAAACATGGCCTTTTTTTTGTGGCAGGTTTCTGTTAGTAAAATTACCAGGAATAAGAGAAATATGAAGAACACGTTAGGAAAAAAATATTTAGCCACATAGCGAAATTGTGAGACTCAATAAATTCAAAATAAGATCACTCACATTATTTAATAAATTTTAAATTAATTTAATATAACAATAGAGTATGTTAGAGTGCACTGGTAAGAATTTTCATAAAATAATGGCCAGCAATTAGTGCAGGCAATAAAATTTAATTGCTGACTCCCCAAAATGAAAGTCGTTAAACACATCGTTGTCAAAAAATCAATATAAATGTTTTTACAGTGAATAGGACAAAATTGGCATCAAGAATTAGTGCCCCTATTATACGAAGATTTAGGACCCTATTCTATAAATGAAGGTCACAGTTTCAACTAACGTGGAGATTTCTCAAGAAAGCAAAGGTATAAGGAGATGTAGACTTGCCAAACAAAGAACACCAACGAGGAAGCTTCTTAAGGACTCGTTCGGTTATTGATGTTATTCTGTCCACATCAGTCCTAAGTTTAAGAATAGGAGCATCGGGGTTATGAGCTGAACCTGACCTCCAGTAAAGAGTCAGATCAAACACTTCTGGTGAACTTTTTCCTCCAGAAAACTGAATAATGTGCCAACCATCTACACCATTCTTTTTGCCAACTGGAATCAATTCTTCAGAATCCCTTGCATCTAAGGTTGAGTGAGAAAAACAACACCTCTTTAGACTAAAAAATATCATAATATATAGCAGCACTAGGAAACAAGTATCAAGAACAATCATTTTAATCAATGCATGCATCCATCCCCATTATGCAAATTTGAATAGAATGTGTAAATATAATCTTTTACTAATGCCACTTTATTTTAGAAAGTATGCAAGTTTAAACTATATAAACAAGTCGTTAAAACTCAAGGCTCATACAGACACCCTAATAAAAGTAATTTGTTTTCTAGTCAACCTGTGAAAGCATGAGTCGTCACGGTTTTACTACCTAAACAATTTCAATTCCATGCTTTATATACTCTAATTTTCACTCATTTCTATATAATTATTCTACAAACCCTATCATTTACCATCTGGAAACAAACAGATTAATCATGCGAAGCATAATTTAAAAGAAAGTTAGATTACAAGCAAAACTGCCAGAGAGGTTTTCCTCACAAGAGAGGACAAGCTTAACATAGGTTTTAAGACATACAATTCAAATCACCTGAACAGGCAATGCCGGTGTGAGAAACATCCCAGCAGGGATCACATTGACAAAATACACACACTAACTTCAAATCATCATGTAAAAAAACCAGCAGGGAATAGCCTACACATAGAGAAAAACTACAAATATGCATGTTAAATAAAAACTCAGCACCTTTAAGCTCAAAATCTTCTATTTCTTCTGTATTGATTGCTATAAACCAACGGATAGAACCCTTTGTATCGATTGAAACTTCTGTTATTCTTCCACTTCCTTTAGCATCACTGAGAATATGCATTGTAGGAATATCCATCTCAGACCAGCCATCGGTGGTGTCATTATAGGTCCAACAGCCATATTTGACCGAGAAAGTCACAAAATCAACTGTTTTGTCTCTACCACATACAAAACTTTCATTAATATGTTCGACCTCCTTGTTCAAATTTCCAGGAGTAGTAGAAAATAAAGATAAATATGATATAGGATTCTGTCCTTCACCAAGATCTCCTGTGGTATCGACAACATGAACAACCTAAAAATAAAGAGAATATTTTATTTGTTATAATAGTTTCACTTCGGTAATCGTGGAAATTATATGGTTATTGTAATGAAATAATAGGATTAGTGAGATTATATTCATATGGTGTGTAATAATGTGTTGCAATGTACATACTTTACTAAAAATTAGGCCAAATATACTAGTATCGCTGTACAAACCCAACCACTAGCCTGGTAAGAAAATTCAGACTAAAAATAAACAAGAAACAATAAAGAATAGGAAACAACTCATAATATTACTTCCTCAATTAAATGACAGGTTGATTCTAAACCCACACAATATATTCTATAAAGCTTTTAAGATATTAAAAAATATTCTATAAGATGAATTGGATATACTGACAGTAAAAAACTTAAGAATATCATGAATCACCATAGCCATAGCAGTACAAAGACCAAGGTTCAGTGATAATTATAATTACAGGTAATGATCACCAAGGTAATGAATAAGTAAAGCATAGTCTTTGTTGCCACTTTCAGAAGAAATATATCAATAGACTACAATATCGATAGACTACAATTCAAGAACAGTATTTTGATTTCCCAAAGAAACTATGTGATGGACATCCAAAAGGACACATGATTGATGGGTGCTAAACATGATTATTTTCTTATCCTTGGTTCCTAATGTCAAACTTCTGTCAGGGTAGGCAAGTCGTATTTAGACCTAGAAAGACACAGATGATTGGTTGGGAAACTAAACTACTTGACTATCACTTGTCCCAGCATCTCCTTTGTAGTCAATGTACTAGGTCAATTCCTTAACTCTACACATGAAGGACACTGGGATGTAGTAATGCACAACTTGAAGTATATTAAAGGAGATCTAAGATAAGGTCTTTTATACAAAGACAAAGGTTATACTTGGACTGTGAGATATGTGGATGTATTGTAGTTATTTTTTCTTTATTGGTGATAATTTGATATCAAGGAAAAACAAGGAATAAAGTATAGTTGCAAGACCTAGTGCAGAAACGGAGTATCAAGCCATGACAGACATCAAGTATCCTTGTTATACAAATAGCACTCATAAGTGATAATTAGAGAGAAAATATTATACGAAGACATTGCCACTAGCTTTGCCAATTCAGATTCCAACTATGGATGTTTTAACTAAGACACTATAAAGTCCTTAATTTAGTTATATGGGACAAGATCAGTAAATATGATTTATATGTTCCAACTTGAGAGAGTTGAAAATATGTCATTATGGTAATATTGTAAATGCAACATATATTCTTGTGATTATTTCTAGTTATCCTTTTATTTATTACTGTATAAATATTTGCTCTATTCTATAATTCATTCACACTGATTTATTCACATGTTCTCTCATTCTCTCTTTAAACACAACTTAACAAATATACTACTTCTTATGCATAAGAAACAAATACTAATTCATCAAGACTGATAAAAATAGTTAAACTAGTTAATTTAAATTAATAATGTGATAAATTTAAATTCTGTTCTAGATATATCCATAAAATTAAATAGTTTTTGTGGTATTTATAACTAATTTTACTGGAAAAAAGTAGAAAAGATTCTAAAGAAGCCAAAGCTGTAGTTCAATTTCTTCATGCAAAACAAGACAAAGAGGTTCTATTTTTAGAGTACTCATAACACTTCAACTATCCTAGAAATAATTACAACATATCAACTACCCATCACCTCAACTAATTTGATAATAATTACAACATCTCAACTATCCTAGTAATAATTAATACAAGTCTTTGTAAATCAAACAAAATTTCTTGTAACTCAACAACTTAACTACTAGTAATTCAAAATAAACCTTTTTCAACCAATAGGTGTGATTTATATTGTTATTAACCTAATGAATGCAT